GAGTGCATTGTATAGTATTTTTTTTAAAAGTAAAATCATAATTTCTGTCATTAAAGTAATGTTAATGATAGAAAAAAATTGTCATTTAATGTTATGTGTGTGTCGTGTGTGACATATATTTCTTATTAGTTTTTCGTATCCTCGGGGTAAAATTTTATATATTTTGTACAAAAGTAAATATTTTAATAATCGGAACGTTTTATATTATTTATTTAGTGTTCCAATTTTCGTGCTAGTTAGTTCAAATTACATTGTCTTAAGTAAAAGTTAATCAATTAGGCATCATTCATGCAGAAACTATGAATCTTTTCCACCCTGGGGGTATAATTTATGATTTATGAACAAGATCACATGATCTGTATTGAATACTATTTAAACTGAAAAATTTTCAGTGTAAATCAGTCTCTTTCTGCTTCTTACATTCTTAAAAAGTATTGAACATGATGTATTCGACGGTAAGAACATATGTTTAGACTCTCAGTTATTATTAAAGTTTTTACTTTTTTATGATGGTGATAATTTATATATTTTTTTAATGACTTTTTAGTGTTTGGGAATATTAATTTCATTGTTCGTTTGCCTTACTCTGGCCGAAGATAAAAAATCTTCAGACGTTCTAGTGGCTGAAGCTTCTCACGAAGAAAAATGGGAACATCACGGAGGAAATTGGAAGAAATTGTCTAATAATCATGGCACACATAAGCATGGACACAAATTTGACAAAGACGATTGGGGTGAATGGGATAAACACGGTAGCAATCAACATCACGATAATGGCGGACATAAATTCGATAAGTATGGTAAAGACGACGAAAGTCATAACCATCACGGATTCGATGGGCACGGATCTCACGGTAGATCTAATTGGAATAGAGGTGGAAAAAAGGACGAATCGGAAGAAAGAACGAATTATCACGATAAAGGTCAGAAGCATCACGGATTTAAAAAGTCGTATCACAAAACAGATGGAGGAGACCAAAAGTCGGAACACGATATCTTTAGTCAGGGCAAGTATCATAAGAGTTACGATGAGGAGGATAATTGGAAGAAGTATAATGGAGAAAAATATCATAAAAATCATCACGGAAAAGAATATTTCGATAAAAACGAACACGGAGACGATTTTCGTAAATTCGAAGAAGGTGGACGTAATAATTATCAAGGAGAAGATTATAAAAAAGGTGGAAAATATTCTGATAAAAAGTGGAGCCATAAGGACAACAATGATCGCCATCATCATTCTAGAGATGAGACGGGTGGTCGCGGTTCTAGTCACGGTAAGGGACATTTTATTGGTCATCATTAATCAAAATAGTCACTGAAAATCGAAAACAGAATACGGAAGGATTACTTTAAACACTTTTCCTATGTTTGGATGAGTTGTAACTTCTTTCTGCAATTGTTAGTCCTGTGATTTTATACCGTAAACAAATTGTATTCAATAAACTCAAATTTTTAATGTTATTATTCCCGATGCTAAACTAATCGCATTAAACTGTACTTTTGTACGGAAAGAAAATAATAAAATATAATTTACGAATTAAACAGTAAACTATTGTATTAAATTTTAACTACAAATTAGATTCATCTGTTCGATTAGTCTCATTTGAATTACTTCAGTTATCTTTACAAAAACTCTTTCGTATACCTATAAATTTTGAGTTTGAAACAAGAAGCGCACGAGAAACAGAATATTAGTGTTCTTGAACACGTCACAAACCTGAGATTTAGTGGAAAGGAAGTATTTGTAATGAAGTATATTATGAATTTCTTTGTTTCAGTTTTCCGAAGCTTATATTTAAAAATTATTCGTGAGAAGAAATTCTTTTTCTTTATACAGTCATTAATAGACAGGAAGATTATGGCCAATATACACGTGAACTCTATGGAATAGGAAAGTGAAATATGAGAGAGAGAGAGAGAGAGCACAGCTTGTCAGTTATGGAAAGATAACAAAATGAGTTTCGAAGACACTGTATTAAAATAATTCTTTTTAGTTAGAGTAAAAGCCTTGCTCATCTCCTGACATTTATCTTTTCAAAGAATGCTAACACTTAACACCTAAAGGGGTTAAATAAATTATAGTATTTGGTATGAGGAAATCCTGCGACATCTTTGATATTGTTAAAAGTTAAAACTTTAATTTTAATTTGAAGTAACAATTAAAAATCATACATTACTCTTCATTCATAGAATACTCTTAATAAATATCTTAATGGTAGTAATATTTAATATTATAAAGTATTAAAGAAAATTTTTTTCTTTCTTAATTAATATATAATAAATATATCCAGTTTAAAAATATTTCTTAAACTGACTAGAACATTATAACTTTGATAAATAAATAAATTAACCTATATCTTTCATGAGTATTTATAGGCTATCATTAATCATTGGTGTCACAACAATGTAAATCTGTATTTTTTAAGAAGTTATCGATTATTATTCCCACAAATGAAACTGTTTCTTCACTACTTTCAGCGCTAAAAATGCCATAGTAGCGAGTTTTGATACTAATTTATTTTATCTTCTACGTGTTCATACCATATTTAGTTGCATTTGAACTACTAAATATCTCTGTTGAAAGCCAATAGAAGTATTCTAATTACAGCCATTCTATTTGTAATAGCAAATAACTAATCTTAACAATGTTTTAGTTATAATGTAACTTTTTGTATAACTCAATTCTGATTAACTACCTCAATATACAGTAAATCAATAATATAATGATGTAATGATATCTCAAAATAGATCTTACTTTATATTTTATTCGGATTGAAATGAAAAAATAATAAAAATTATTTCTGTAATTACAGAGCGATTAAGTAGTTCAATTATATTAATGAAGTGTGTAACTGTTACAGCAGGATACACTTAAGAGTTAACAGATTAGCTACTTCCCAATCATCCTCTATTGAGAAAAGATGGAAACTAGAATATTAATTTAAAAAAAAAAGGTTAAGAAGAAATGATAACTTATCAAATTGATATCAATATCGCTAATGATCTGTTTACAAACCACACTTAAAGGTCAATACATTCACCAGTTTCAAATGTTTTCGACTCTTTAGAAGTCTGGGGACTGGGGATCTAATCCGGGCCACCCTATTGTGGGTCTTGTCTAATCTACGATGGATAAGAAAGATTATTTTAGTGCCCACAGGAAGGAAAGAGCTAAAGTTAAAAATATAAAATATATGGTGCCATCATTTGTTCGCGTACGAAATTAGTATTACTTAATAACACATCATTCTATTGGTAAAAAAACATCGTTATCGTGTCATCTTTAATGTCGAATTGCGTCACAATAGATCCGGGCGAAAAACATCCCCTAGAAATTGATCACAGACTTTCAGACCGACGTCTAAAAATGTCGAAGAAGATCAATAAAATATAAGGTATATGAACTATTTCTTAATCGTTAGAATATAGTTTGATTCAGTCAATATTATTCGACCTTTAAAAATCACTTAAAATTTTAATTACTCCTTCGCTATGTACAAGTGGAATAAGTGAGTTATCGTTTACATAGTTTTTCTTATGTCATTTCTAATTCGTATCTAAGCTGATAATGAGAATCACCAATTAAAATAATCGCCACTCCTACTAGTACAGAGAGTATATGCACAATCTGCACCCATTACGGAGTTTATGATTGGTCGGATTTATTGATGAAATTAGATGTTGTTTTATGTATAATTCTACGAATTGTGTGCGATTTATTTTAGAACTGTTCACATAATTATAACTTGTAGTAAATAAAAAATTTTAAAATATTTGTACGTCGTAAAACGTGTACAGATTCACAATCTGTAGACTTTATCTGAATCTGAGTCATTTGAATCTTTTGTAGAAGGGATTGATTGAGTATTAAATCTTTATCCGAAGTTTCTTTTGTTTGGTTCTATTGAGGCAGTAGAATCATTTCGTCCGGTGTACACAGAGAAATTACATCTGTTTGACCGAATAAGGTAACGCGATACAAAACGATCTGCTAAGGGAAGTGCCTTCCTGAGGACTTTCATAGAAAACTAGGTTCTATTTAGATGAAGAAAATCCAGAAAATTTTACGTGATCAGCAAGAACCAAAGAATAACTACCGGTGTTCAGTACTTTTATCTACTTCAACACTGGTGGGTGGACACGGTGGACTATCGACGTTTAATCTTTCGTGAAAAAAATCATAAGGAGTAAAGTAGTTTTTAATAAATTTGATGAAAAACTTTTTCATTTTCTTTTATTCATACATTTTTATAGCTTTCGGGGAGAATCTCGCATGCATGATTAGCCGGTCTACTAGAGCGTAGGTAGGCTAATGCTTTAACCGCCTCAGTCATCCGACCGGTTTATTATTGCCTTAAGTAGTTAAATTGTTTCCAATGAATTTCATTGAAAATAACGATTTTTAAGATTATTGTTAGCATTGATTTTTGATTGAACAATGATTTTTAATAATATTGTTAAATAAATAATCAAATATAACTGACAGAAATTTCTTACCAGACACAGACAGGTAATTTATTTATTTATTTTAAACTCTTCCCGTCCTGTGAGCAAAGAGAGGGCATTTTTTATTAGGCCCATTATGGACTCGACTAACCCCACAATGGAACAGGGGCACGATATATCAGGACGGACTACTCCGAAAAATTCCTAGGGTTTTCGACCCGTCCACATTCGATTTCGAATCTTCAAAGTGGTAGGCTGCCATCTTAATCATTCGATCATCTGGCCGTTTTAATAATTTATTAATAATTAATTAAATTATGAGATACATCAATATATGTAAATTATTATGAATTTTATATTTTGATATGCTATCGATTATAATATTCCAATAAAATTTTCGTAAAATTCCCAAATAATTGAAGTTTTTTTCAGTTTTGGTTCTTCCCATCCTTTAGAAACTAAAAGGCTTTTTAAGCATGTTTATCGTGTGTTTGGCCAGGCTAACGAGAGCGATCAGATAGTGAGGAACGGGGCCAACATATCCGGCACGAACACCTCCCGAGTTGCTCGTCTGAATTAGTTTCCGGTCCTTCAAAGCCATAAACTGGCTCCTTAATTGCCTTAAACCATCTCTAACTAGGACCGGATTCAGAACACTAAGCTAAAATTGTATATGCCATTGTTCGAAATCAATGTAATTGGACTGTAATTTTCCAATTGCTAACCTATAAATTTCCACAGTAGTCCATTATCCGTCCATCCGCCCTTTCCTAATATCGAGAATGAAAATCGAGACCAGATATGAAAAGCTTAGACACCAGAGGCCCAAATTAATTATATGACTGGAAATCACGCGCTTTTTAAAATTACAATATCATGACCATGTCAGAATAAGTAATTGCTCTTTATTTTTATTATTTCCAGATATTTCCCGATGGCTAAATCATTTAACAAATCAAGACGTGATAAAACTTTATCCGGGATACTTTTAAGATATTCAGTACCACCCGATAATTCCTGTTTATTTACAAGCGTATACTTTGGAGTATCCAATGGAAAGTTCGACAATTCCGCATCTTATTCACTGAGAGTAATCATAGCAGATGCGGTGGCTGCGGACCCTCAGACTTATAACGAAACTTATCTCGATCAATCCAATGAGAATTATTGCAATTGGATTCTTAAAGAAGATTCTTGGGGAGGTGCCATCGAACTCTCCATCTTGAGTAATTATTACGGAATAGAAATCGTTGTGGTGAACATCGTGTCTACCAGTCTTCATAAATTCGGCGAAGATAAAAATTATTCGGAGCGTATTCTATTAATATACAACGGTAATCATTATGATCCTCTGATGTTCCAACGTTTTGGAGACGAAGACGACATTCAAACTTTATTTCCAACTTCCAACGAAGAGTTTTTGAATATGGCTCTAGAAATTGCTCGAGAGTTGAAATCAACTGACTTTAATTCCCGAGAAAGCAATGAAGAATTAATTCTGAAGTGTTTTATATGCAAGAAATTATTCGAAAATAAAACAGAAGTTACATAAAGACTAAACATTATGCATTTTGCAATATGAAGATTAATTGTTACAATTGGACTTTCTAGTCTACATTCTATTAATACTATACAAGATGGCTATCTTTTATAGTATTTTATATAAATTTATTTTATTAAAAATAAAATTATTATGTAAAATTACATTATTAACATTCTTTCAATTATAAAATCACATAAAAAATACAATTTTTATCTGCAAACATTCAATAAATGTTTTCCAAATTATATAATACACAATAGGGCCTATAACTTTTTAAACAGATTGATTGATTAATTAACGACGCGAGGAACCGGTACATTGTGGTCTGTATTGTTTGGTATGTAATGCCTGCCTGTAATGGGTATAGACATTACAGACACAATGCTATTCGATTATGAATGAAGAATGGAATTATGAGAGGGTGGGCATAAACTTATATTTCTTAAACCAGGAATTAAATATGCTAGAGACCAACAAATCATTTACTACTGTATCCAGTGGTAACACTAAAGTCGTTACTTTCGGAAGGCTGCGTGACAAAATTAGTCCATTCATTAAAACTTCTGACTAATATTTGTACACGATACCAGAGAAAAAACTACCGGCTCTAGAAAGCTCAAATTTTAATCTTAATCCTTTTCTCATTACCAGTGAGGTGCTGGCGAAACTTCCGGGTCAATAGGTCAAAGTTTACGTTGGTTCTCCATATACCTATTTTAATTATAAATTATATCGCTTAATTTTATGCTTGTAAGGATAAAATTCCATGGAAACGAACAAAATGTTATCCAGAATAAGAAGAGCTAAATGACTCTTTTCTCATGAAAGATTGTCGATTTCTGGTTTATATTAATACAATAAACAAGAAAACACTATAAAGAATTATTCAAGACGAAATATATTACTTACATTATGCATTTCCTACGCTTTTTAATTCTTTAATTATCAAAGAATAACAGAAAATAAAACGAGTTCTATAGGAATCTAACCCAAATTCTTCTGGTTAATCTCCATTTTCTTTTAAATAATTTCCATAGGATTAATTATCTTTCCTGTTTTGTTAACAATTCTAATAATATAGCTAGAACACGAGAAGAAACCGAAATTATAGTTCTAGAATCAGAACCTAAGTCTTTTGTATAATAAAATATAAAAATTAAATTGAATTAATGTAAAGAGCATAAAGAAAGAAAAAATATATATAATAAACCATCACATCACAGACACAAGGCAAATAACTGATTTCCATTGCCTTGAGTACAGTACACAGCTCTGCTTCAAAATATAATTTATTTATTTCATTTTATTTACTTATTATCATAAAAAAAAAACATTGAATATTTATACATATTTTGTTTAAGAATCATCTAAAAATGATTTAAATAGAGTAAAATAATTTTTATGTGTGACTCTGCATAACTTATTATACGAAGTCACGCAGTGTAATTATAATGTTAAAAGAATTCTCAAATTAAAATATATAATATTTTATTTATTTTTAAAAAATATTAAAACTTTCACAAACTATTTTTTTTTAAAAGTAAAATCATAATTTCTGTCATTAAAGTAATGTTAATGATAGAAAAAAATTGTCATTTAATGTTATGTGTGTGTCGTATGTGACATATATTTCTTATTAGTTTTTCGTATCCTCGGGGTAAAATTTTATATATTTTGTACAAAAGTAAATATTTTAATAATCGGAACGTTTTATATTATTTATTTAGTGTTCCAATTTTCGTGCTAGTTAGTTCAAATTACATTGTCTTAAGTAAAAGTTAATCAATTAGGCATCATTCATGCAGAAACTATGAATCTTTTCCACCCTGGGGGTATAATTTATGATTTATGAACAAGATCACATGATCTGTATTGAATACTATTTAAACTGAAAAATTTTCAGTGTAAATCAGTCTCTTTCTGCTTCTTACATTCTTAAAAAGTATTGAACATGATGTATTCGACGGTAAGAACATATGTTTAGACTCTCAGTTATTATTAAAGTTTTTACTTTTTTATGATGGTGATAATTTATATATTTTTTTAATGACTTTTTAGTGTTTGGGAATATTAATTTCATTGTTCGTTTGCCTTACTCTGGCCGAAGATAAAAAATCTTCAGACGTTCTAGTGGCTGAAGCTTCTCACGAAGAAAAATGGGAACATCACGGAGGAAATTGGAAGAAATTGTCTAATNTTATCCGGGATACTTTTAAGATATTCAGTACCACCCGATAATTCCTGTTTATTTACAAGCGTATACTTTGGAGTATCCAATGGAAAGTTCGACAATTCCGCATCTTATTCACTGAGAGTAATCATAGCAGATGCGGTGGCTGCGGACCCTCAGACTTATAACGAAACTTATCTCGATCAATCCAATGAGAATTATTGCAATTGGATTCTTAAAGAAGATTCTTGGGGAGGTGCCATCGAACTCTCCATCTTGAGTAATTATTACGGAATAGAAATCGTTGTGGTGAACATCGTGTCTACCAGTCTTCATAAATTCGGCGAAGATAAAAATTATTCGGAGCGTATTCTATTAATATACAACGGTAATCATTATGATCCTCTGATGTTCCAACGTTTTGGAGACGAAGACGACATTCAAACTTTATTTCCAACTTCCAACGAAGAGTTTTTGAATATGGCTCTAGAAATTGCTCGAGAGTTGAAATCAACTGACTTTAATTCCCGAGAAAGCAATGAAGAATTAATTCTGAAGTGTTTTATATGCAAGAAATTATTCGAAAATAAAACAGAAGCTCAGCGACATTACGAAAATACTGGACATTATGCTTTTTGCAATATAAAACAATCAGAAGATTAACTGTTACAATGGGAATTTCTATATCTCATTAATAAATATATAAAATATCTATTCTACTGTATATTAATTTATTTTATAAAATTAAATGTACATTTTTTTTAATAGCAAAATCATAAAGATGAAAATATATTTCTGACAGAATTATTTGATTTTTAATTTAAGAAAAATATAACTTAATGTAATAGCATTGTGAAAATTCTTCGTACAGGAAAATATTTGATATTTCATATAACATAGTCCATAAATAATTTGTTAATAAAAGACTTTCTAGTATATACGGATGCACAAATTTCTTCAAACAGCCGCGTTTGTTTCTTCGGGTATGGTTTTAGACTGTCGATAGTATCGAAATACAGATTTTAAACATAAATACTATTTGATATTACATTATAAAAAATACCGACGCATCCCTGGCTTGAAGATAGCCAACTCGTCAGTACAATTTAATTATGAAATAGTGTTGAACAACTCGTACCATAGTCCTCCAATGGCCGAGTAGATACAATCACTGAACACTGGCAGTTGGTTGCGGATTCGCGCGAAAAAGATTTTCATTCTCTGAATTATAAATTATGTGTGAGACGCACAGCACCAAAAACTTGAAAGATCCATTCGTTTCCTAAATGGGGGAATTGTTTAATTTCTTCCAAAATAAATTATGAAATATCTCTTTTAGTGGTGCGGGACGATTCTAGCGCAATATTGAAATGTGCTCAAAGGTCGTATATTATTTGTCGAGAAAATATGTGTCACGTACTTTAATTTTAATCAAGTTATTACCTAGGGAATATTATAATAAATACTTTAATTTGAAAAATTCTATAATTATAAAATAATAATAATAATAATTTTATATTTTAGATGGCAACACTTATTAACGTAAACATTAAATATGGCCGCCTCCTCAGACGTGTTATGGGTATTACCAGGTGGGAATTTTAAAATTTATGTTTTATAAATTTACTTTTTATAACATATTTCTTAACGGAATTGTACAAGAGTACAGAAAGCTCATATCAAAGATAATATAATCTGTTAAACTTAAGATGTTATTTATTTTTACTTTTTATTTTGTTCATAGCGTGTTGTATCACCTCATGCACATGTTGCTCGCATTATGTATATGCACTGTCGTGATTTATGATTTATGTAATATCTGTTGTATATTTATAAAAACAAAGGGTCTGTTTTAATGGGATGACTGGGCAACGAGAGAAAAGTTAAGATATAATATCTGGATCAAAGCATCATAAAAAGTGGTTGAAAATCTATATCCCTTAGATTAGCAGATTTCCCCTCAACCATTGTCCATCATTTTATTTCTGGTAAAAACATCAGTTTTATTGTGGAGCATACACTTAAGTGTAGTGTAAATATGAGTAATTCAAATGAAATGAAAAGTAATTTGACATTATCATCAAAATTAAAATTGGAGAATAATTGATTGATTATGGTCAGTGTTGGTGGTCTTTCTTTGGTTAATGTCCAGATACGTGGACTGTCATGGCGGCACTTCCTGTTTCAGCCTAGAAACCGGACCGGTTTGGAGACGACATGTCACGTGACGACGCAAGTGAATGGCGGCGGCTGCTGCACCGTGATAAACGGGGAAAACCGACGCACGGGTTAACGTCCATATATGTAGACTGTCATGGCGGCTCATCTCTGATTCCGGAAAAGAAAAGGAAACAGTGGGGACGCACGTTCTAACCTAACCTAACCTAATCTAATAATATAATTGGTAATAATTATGATAATTTATTAGAATAGGTTAGGTTAGGTTAGAACGTGCGTCCCCACAGTTTCCTTTTCTTTTCCGGAATCAGAGATGAGCCGCCATGACAGTCTACATATATGGACGTTAACCCGTGCGTCGGTTTTCCCCGTTTATCACGGTGCAGCAGCCGCCGCCATTCACTTGCGTCGTCACGTGACATGTCGTCTCCAAACCGGTCCGGTTTCTAGGCTGAAACAGGAAGTGCCGCCATGACAGTCCACGTATCTGGACATTAACCAAAGAAAGACCACCAACACTGACCATAATCAATCAATTATTCTCCAATTTTAATTTTGATGATAATGTCAAATTACTTTTCATTTCATTTGAATTACTCATATTTACACTACACTTAAGTGTATGCTCCACAATAAAACTGATGTTTTTACCAGAAATAAAATGATGGACAATGGTTGAGGGGAAATCTGCTAATCTAAGGGATATAGATTTTCAACCACTTTTTA